AGATTGGGTGGTATGGCTAAGGAAGGTCATATAAGGGGATCTGGAGAGGTCTTCACCCCCCTGCATTATGCCCTCTTCTTCTCAGCTTCACTTTTGAAGACACAGTTGGGAAAACTCTGTGAGTTGAAGCTAGGAAGTGAGGTGTGTGGAGACTTGTGGGATAGATGAGTCGATATGGAGAATGGGAGAACAGCAGTGGTGGGTTGCTCCCAGTTCAGTCCGGTTCTATAGAACTGGTAGTAAAACCGGCGGGAAGCTCCACCCATCCACCACAACATCATCATGGGTGATCTGCGCATGTGCAGGAGCTTCTGCTCATGCTCAGAAGCACATGCGCTCCCGCTGCGAACCGGTAGTAAGTAGAACCAGGGGTGAAATGCTCCCGGTTTGGACCGGATCGCCCAATCCAATAGCGATGGCGGTGGGTGGTTCGGAGAACCGGTAGCAAAAATCCCTGCGCCCCCCCCATGCCCAGCTGAGCCGTGCGATCATCAGAGACTGTTTTTTTTTACTTTTAAAAGCATTTTTTCTACAACCTCTTCGGCTGAAAAAATGCTTTTAAAAGTTAAAAAAAAAAGCCTCTGATAATCGTGCAGCTCAGCTGGGATTGTCAGAGGCTTTTCAAAGCATTTTTTCTGCAACACCTTCAGCCGAAGAGGTTGTAGGGAAAAAAATGCCTTTAGAAGCCTCTGGTGATCCCAGCTGACTTGCCTGATCGTCAGAGGCTTCTAAAAGCATTTTTTTCTGCAACTTCTTAAGGTTGTAGAAAAAATGCTTTTAAAAGAAAAAAAAAAAAAGTTGGCCACGCCCACCCAGTCACATTACCCCACCACCACCACCAAGCCACGCCCACAGAACCGGTAGTAACAAATTTTAGATTTCATCCCTGAGTAGAACCGGCAATATGGTGCAACAATGTGGTTGCTGCTGTCCTGGAGAACAGCAATATGGTGCAACAATGTGGTTATAGGATAAGAATATTAATGGGTAGCCCAAATCAGCTGGTAGTGTTTTTTTCCACTATTGCTTCTAGACCAGCCTACTATATATTTTCCCCTCATATCACCCCAAACACTGAAATATGGTTTGGTCAGTGTCTGTGCTTTGATGTAGAGGAGTATAGAGAAGACCATAGAGAAATTATATAATTATCATTAGTAAAATATAGGGCTTTCTGAGGCTCATGTGGTTAGAATACTGAGACAGAAGAACATTCAGAGGTCAAGCACAAGCCACATCACAGAATGAGTTCCCGTCAATTTATCCCAGCTCCTGCCCTCCTAGCAGTTTGAAAGCACGCAAATGCAAGTAAGTAAATAGGTACCATTACTTGGTGGGAAAATAACAGAAACCTGAAAGGCACCCTGCCCCCCCCCCCAACCAGGGCATCCCCTAGGCAATGCTGATGTCACCAGCTAATCCTTTCAACTTGGAAGCACCTTGGTATGTTCTTCCGACATAAATGTAGTAATAGTAAAATATGACTTTACCTGGGAAAACAGGAAAGCATGAGAATGAAACACAAAATGGAGGAAAGGTCAAAATTTCTGTCAAACTTTCAAGATTCTGTTAGTATATAGATGTAGAGTTCTAATATTTTGTGGCATTTGTTTCCTAAGTAAGCCAAGTCAACTGAAGCTTTTTTTTGTTTTGTTTTGTTTTAAGAACCATTTTAATCTTTATTAAATTCTGTTTATAACATGAATCATTTTGTTCTTTATTTCTTATATTTGTAGTCGTTAATCTAATTTTATATATTGTAAGTTACTACTCTGCTTTGGGGGAAAATTAATAGATATTATTACTCATGTAAAATATATATTAAAAAAACAGATAACTAAAAATAGTAGAAAGAAGAAGGAAAAGAGGAAAAAAAGCTCCCTTCTTTAAGGTTAACAGCTCTGACGAACCATCGAAGTATTGAAAATGCTGGCTGAAAAATTACTTTCAGGTAAATTCATGCTAACAATTTACGGACAAGAAGTTATAAATGACAGATTGGCCACTCATATAATTTCTAAATAACTATCATTCTGTAATTCATTAACTTTGATAAAGACTCCGTGTCTGTCTCACAGTGGTACATTATCAAGATCTGCTTCAAAGTACAGGTTGACAAGACTGAAGCAGAGCACAACCTCATGGCAAAATAGAAAAAGTAAGCTTTGGACAGTACCTGAGGATCAGATTGCTGCTTGATCCTATTACTAACTGAATATTGATATTTTTCCCTAAATGCAGTGCTTTAAACATGAGTTTTGTTTAAGATTTACTGAGAATATGTTCAGGAGGCAGGTTTTCTTGTGTGATTATAAATTAAGGGCTAGCTTCTTTCAGAATGGTGTGTGTGTGTGTATGAGTTATTAACATCAGCTGCCTGCAATTACTGCAAGTTCGAATCTCACCAGGGTCAAGGTTAACTCAGCCTTCCATCCTTTCTAAGGTAGGTAAAATGAGGACCCAGACTGTGGGGGCAATAAGCTGACTTTGTATAAATATACAAAAGTATGAAGGCTATTGCTTAACACATTGTAAGCGGCCCTGAGTCTCCGGAGAAGGGCGGCATATATATCAAACAAAACAAAACAAAAATGAGTGTGTGTGTAGAATGCATATGTGAATATGTGACTATGTGTGTATAATTTATAGTACACTTTCTTAATCATCAGCCCAGTAAGCCCTGAATAAGCAATACATATGACTAATTTAAATTAAAATAATCTCTATTTTCAGTGGAAGAACTCTAGGATACTTAAATTGAGAAGTGGAAGCTTCCAATGTATTCCTCATTGCTCTTCAAGAGTAAAAGACAAAAGACTAGATCAGGTTTTACTGAGCATTTTTGTGATGTTGAATGATCCCCTAGAATATCTAATGTGTCTGCCACATTTATTTTGGTAGTTTGCCTTCTGCTGCTTAATGATGCTGCACATATTTTTTTTAAGGACTACACAGACTTCACATTGACTTTGGCAATCCAGTATTCTGAACACTTTTGCCTAGAATAATATAAATATAGATGTAGGGTAAAAAGGAGGAGGAGATAAGAGAAAGGAATGGTTGCACTCAGTGAGTTAATCCTTTTCTACAAAAATGAATATTGTTCCTGATTTAATTTCTGTTCCTAGAGGTATTCCTATGTTAATACTAAGGAAATACATGATCTCTTTCAGATCAATAGGTGACTTAGGAATAGTAGACCACCAAAGTTTTCTTTAGCTATTTAAGATTGCCATTTGAGGAAGGTGGGTTTAATTATCTCATTTGCAAAAATATCATTTGACATATATTTCATGAGCTATTAGTAGATGGAATGAAAATATAGTAGAATGTTATTCTTTGATGCTCTGCTGGAAAGTTATCTATTTCTCTTGCAGTCTTGGCAAGTTCTTGGAACAACATATAGTAAGAAAGGTATTTTATTTCCAGAAGCGTGGGCAGTGAAAATATATTGGAATCATATTGTAGCAAATGGAGCCAAGGTGGCGCAGTGGTTAGAGTGCAGTATTGCAGGCTACTGCAGCTGACTGCTAGCTGCAGTTCAGCAGTTCAAATCTCACCAGCTCAAGGTTGGCTCAGCCTTCCATCCTTCCGAGGTGGGTAAAATGAGGACCCAGATTGTTGGGGGGAATAAGCTGACTTTGTAAACTGTTTAGAGAGGACTGTAAAAGAACTATGAAGCGATATATAAGTCTAAGTGCTAAGTGCTAAATATTGGGTTTAAATAATAAGATTCACAAATTTTTAACTATTTGGAAAAATTCTATTCTAAAAATAAATGACGAAATATTTCATTAGAAAGTCTTATAGAAAAGGATTATCTCTTTAAACCAATTAAAGTTGGAATTTTTCCCAACTTCAATATGGTCTTCCCAGTTCACAACACTGGCAATATTTTCATTTATGAGATGCTCCCTTATTTGATGAAATCTGTGACATAAGTAAAACCCATAACATATCTCTATGAAATTAGACAATATTTATTTTTAGAGTAGGCATTGTTGGGGACTTCAGTCCTTTATTATTTTATTTATTTATTGAATTTGTATACCGCCCTACTCCCGAAGGACTCAGGGCGGTGAACAGCCATGAAATAAAACATATAAATACAAAATTTAAAATAGATTAAAACGAATTAAATAATTTGGCTGAACAAATTTAAAACCCCAATAATTTAAAACCAGATTTAAAATTTCCATTTAAAAAGGGGAAAGACTTAGGTCAGGCCGGCTTGGTGAAATAAGAAGGTCTTAAGCGTGCGATGGAAGGTACGCAGATCCGGGATCCTCCGTATCTCTGGGGGGAGCTCGTTCCAGATAGTTGGTGCCCCCACAGAGAAGGCTCTCCCCCTGGGGGCCGCCAGTCGACATTGTTTGGCCGACGGCACCCGGAGGAGCCCCTCTCTATGGGAGCGTACTGGTCGGTGGGAGGCTATTGGTGGTAGCAGGCGGTCCCATAAATAACCAGGTCCTTTAGCTCATGTTTGGAACAGCCCGGTTCACTTTAAAGGTATTCTTCATGTTTTAAAAATGATAAACTGGTATTATGGATTTGAGATTAAGTTGATTCATTAAAAATACTGGACTCCCTAAAAATGTACTTGGAAAGCTAGACATCAGATTTTCTTTGTTGTAGGTATAAAAAAAATGAAGATTTTATTGATCCAGATATGGTCCTGTAATCATTTGGTATTTTTTCGGAATTTTATTTTAATGTAGGTAAGTAACTTTATGGGCAAGCAGTTAAATATTTTAAAAAAACTAATGTAATGTTGAAAAAAGAGATCCACACATCTGCTCAAAGATTGTGGAACAACGTCTAGTGCTATTGTTTTAATTCCTACGAATGGCAATTCAATCGCTTCCTTCTTCAAGTGGTCTTCCTAACCAATTAAGCTTAGCTCCAATATGTAGTAGCAATGTCTGTATAGTGTTGCTACTTTTGCTAAATGATGTTACTATTCACTTTTCATCTCGTAGGAATTTCAAGAGGGAAATACAATGTCTGACAATAGCAAGATGAGGATCAATCTCCTCCTGCTTGGAAGAACACAAAGTGGGAAAAGTGCAGCAGGAAACACTCTTCTGGGCAGCACAGACTTTGCAAGTTTTCTTTCTCCATGCTCTGTGACTACATCCTGCCACCTAGGCCGCAGCTGTAACATTTCAGATTTTGGGCGTCAGCAAGGAAGAGCACTAACCGTGCAAGTCCGTGTGCTGGACACTCCTGGATATCCTCACAGCAGCCTCAGCAAAGAGCAGATCCAGAAAGACGTCAAAATGCTGTAGCTCAGCACTTTGGAGAAGAAGGCCTGCACTTGGCACTTTTGGTTCTGAGAGCTGATGTTGTACTGTGTGAAGAAGAGGAAACTCCCACCATACAACTGATTGAGGTAATGTCCATGAGAAATAAGAGTTATATACTGTATTTTTCAGACTATAGGATGCACTGGTGTATAAGACGCAGCAAGATTTCAAAGAGGAAAACAAGGAAAGAAATAGTTTTTGGCCTCTGTATGTTTGATTTTTGCCCTCCCCAGCCCCCAGGAGCACTCTGCAGGCCTCCCAAACTCTCTGTGCATCCCATTTTTGTGAAAAATGGGGCCGTTATCGCAAAAAAAGGCCCATTTTTGGCTTCTCAAACCCCCCACGTGTCCGATTTTTGCCTTCCTTGACCCCCAGGAGCATTCTGCAGGTCTCCCAAATCCTCTGTGTGTCCTATTTTTGGAAAAGTGGGCAGGGCGGGGTTTCGGGAGGCCAAAAATGGCCATATTCAGTGTATAAGACACACCGACATTTCCACCCTCTTTTGGGAGGGGGGGGAAGTGTGTCTTATACTCGGAAAAGTACTGTATATATTGCCCCATCACCAGATGGTGATGCTCAGAGAACTTAACTTCAAACTACAATAGAAATTGCACTGGGCTGGGAATTAAACTAAAATGTTATGAATTTAAAAACTGAGATGTGCATATGTGAATTCATCCAAATCCAGTTCTTGCACTGAACTAAAATGTTCTGCCCATATGTGGTGATAGATTTGAACAAATACAGATTTTAATAAAGGCAGTTTACAATTGGATTCCAAGGACTAAAATTCTAACATAGAACATGGCCTGATAGAACTGTGAAAAGTATGCTAGTACACTATAATCTTCAATTTGACCACAGGACGGCATGTTCATTGTGAGGAGGCCTAGTAATAAGCATGATAAATTTAAATGTTTACTCTATTAATCTAGTTTTATTGCATCCTTTTTCCTGTAAAGTTCAGAGTAATATATATATATATAGCTTGGCCAATATATATGTCTTGCTTAGGCAATTGTTAAGTGATCATGAGTTAAATCAAATTTTGCAAGCAAAGGTTTAGACAGAATCACACAATTACTTGGATTCTTATTTTTACCAAATCTATTCTTCCCAAAAGTTCCTTTGAAAGGGTTGGGATTTTCCAACAATAAGAGGCAGGAGGTAGGAATATTCCACTGCAGATCAATGGTTGGCTTATATATTGAAAAAGATAAAATCATGTATGTAAAATAATTATTAATTAAGCCAATGTTCTTTTTTTTTTTTTTTTACTTTTGCAGGAACTCCTTGGGCCTAATTGGAAGACTTACACTGTCGTTTTATTTACTCATGCAGACCAGATTGAAAAATCATCATTTACTATAGACAAATATTTGCATAGTGCCTCAGACACACTACATAAAGTAATGCAGTTAGTTCAACAAAAATGCATTTTTATTGACAATCACGCTAGGTTTCTAAAACGTGAAAACCTAAAAGCATTAAGAAAAATTATGGAGTTTCTAAAACAAAACAGTTTCCAGACCCTTCATGTGAAATAAACAATGCTATACGTTTAAATAACTTACCATTTCCAAATTCTGAATTCTTTGCTGCTTTTATAATTTACTCTTTTGACAGCCAGGGTTCGAGACCCAAGCACCGCACAATGGGGTTTTGAGATAGTTATTCTTTTCAGATTCAATTTCCATAGTATCAGATTGTAGTATCCTATAGAAAACTACTTATTTTCACCCAGTGTATCCAGAATCAAATATAAATTTCATATATTCAACTCTCAAGGTGGTTTTAAAATGCCTATATTTTGTGCACTAATCAAGCTACATTTCCAGAAAATATATTTCAATACATTAAAAATATATTAATATTAGCTAATACTAACATGTTGATAACATCACTCTAGTTCTAAAATATATTCCTTGATCTCCTTTATTTCTGAACGGATTTCAAGCCTGGTGTGAGACTGAAACTGAATTGTTCACCTTGGTGGATAACTTTTGAACTAAATAGTAGTCCTTCTGGCCATTTCAGATCTGTCAGCTGCATTCAGTTACACTGTATTCCTAGACTTCCAGTGAGTTCCATACAGCATCACTGAGATGCACCATCAAACGTGTGCTGGCAAAAGATTCTACTATGCTAATTGAACCACGCTATTTTCATATATGCATGAAACTGATGGCAGAGACAATCCCTTGTTTTATGAAGAAGCATTGTCATTATACCCAACTACATACGAACATTGGAAGCCAAGCAGAAAACATATTGAACATTCACACTCAGAATGTGGAATTTATGAGGGACGGGTAAAAATGAAACAGACTGAAATTTGGTATAATGGTATACCAAATGGTATAATGAAACATGGAAATTTGCATTAAATGATAAATTGACTTGTGATATTAAAATTAGAAGTGGTATATACAAAGAAAATGTTTTTTTGGAACACTTGGCAACCATTTGTGGACTTTGCACTTGGGAGACTGGACGAATAGGCACCAGTACCTTATCAAAGAGATTTCTGGAAGAATTGAAGACTTCAATTTCCTAAAACTTCCTTTCCGTTTGTATAGCACGTTGGGGGAAAAAAATTTTTTCTTTCCTTATTATTGATTTTTGTATTTTTTTTCTTCCTGTTATTCTTTAACAATAAAAATATAATAAAAAATAATAAAAAAAGACTGAAATTTGAATACCCAAAAAGTAGAGTCACTGTCTGAGTCACAGAAGGCATCTGATTCAATGTCAGTTTCTACTTTGAATCTTCATGAGACACGTTATTAATACAATTTATGAATACAATTCAAAGTTCTGCTTTTTTTCTATAAACCCTCTATGAGACCAAGTTATCCTTGGGATTGTTTTCAGAAACAGTATCTACTTGTCTTGTGTCTTCAGTATGGGAGCCTTCAGAGGGGCTCCTGCTCAATAGGTAAGGACCGAGAGTGGAGATGAAGCTTGTAGACAGAATAACGAGCCTCTAGATGACTGGATAGTGTGCACACTTTGTTTGTTTTTTAAGATGGCACCAAAGATGAAGCATTCTTTACATGGACATGGAGCTAAAGTGCTATTTCACAGAGCTGCTATTTTAAGTGGTTTTAAATTTAATTTTCAGCAACATTTTAGTCTTTTGTTTCCTTTCAGTGGTTTAAATGGATTTTAATGATAGAAAATGTATTTTATCTATTTCTTAAGAATTCTTCTGTAATTGCTTTCATAGGAGTCCCAACGATGAAATTCATCAGTTATTTATAGTGTTTCCATTTTTTCTCTGGACCATGTATGGACCATTTCTCTATGCTATGTAATATTAGAATCATTTGAACTAGGGCATTAATATATTACTGTAATAAATTTCACTAGAGTCTACTTCATTTTCATGCATTAGCAACATATGAATTTGGGAGGTGGGGATCCTAGTTCCAAACTAGTTTCCAACCCTGCTTACAGATACTACAAAATGATCTAAAGGGTATGGGCGTGCATGCATCATCTACCACTTATCTATAGCTCTAATTAATGTTTTTTTCAGTTTTATACAAGCAATGAACCATGAAAATGTGTATTTTTGGTATATGTTTTTTCTCAAGTTGAGTCTGACTCCCAGTTACTAATAGATTCTTTCAGTTTTCTCACCACAGTACAGACGTTGTTGTCATTCCCTTCTTTCAGGAACTTCCTTCAACTTCCTTATCTAGTGTCTACCTTTGGTAATCCCTGGGTGTTTTGTATTCAAATACTAACCAGGTCTGATATTACTAAATTTTTTAAGGTCAGCCAAGGTCATCTGTAAGGTTGTAATAAAATGAAAGAGACATGGTTTTCAGTGAGGCAATATTTATTTATGTTCATGTTTTTCCCTTCAAAATTATTTCAAACTTTTCCAAGCTTTCATTTATTTGATTCCACTGTTGGCCATTGAAGGAGCCCTGCACACACCTTTCCCTTTCACTTCAAACGGCACTCCTTTGTATGTAGCAATACACTGGTCATTAGTCTGAAGATCAGGTTGGATCTGCTCCCATATTTTCTTTTTGGGATTAAGTTCTTTCTCAGGTTCACCTTTTTTAAAAAAGAAAAAAAGGAAGAGAAGAAAGTAAAACTAAGAATTTGAACGCATATTCTTTCACAACATAAAGGAAGTGATTTACATCAGCAGTTCCCAAACTTTGTGACTTGGCAGAGATGGGTGGGCTGATGCGCATGTGCACGTATGACTGGTGAGCAGACGCATGTGTGCACAGCATAACTTAATCATGCAGCCTAGTTGCAAATAGGCCACGGCCCAGTAGTGCCAGGACTGTGCAGTGAACAAAGGACTGTGCAGTGGACAAAGTTCAAAAAAGATATTTATTTGTTTATCCATCCACCCATCCACCCATCCCAATCTCTTGTGAAACCTTAGTTGAGAAAAATTGAACTTAAACTAATAATATGAGTTGAAGAAAAGTCAAAACATTGTAAACTTCCTCTCCTCATCCTTCCTCTCTATGACTAATTATTACAATCTACCTGCAGAAAGATTATTAACCACAGTTAAAACTGACTTGGTTTCTGTCAATATATAAAAGAATGGTTTAAAATTGATTTAAAATTCCAGCCGGCAGCAATGAATGGTATCTATGAAAATAATCAACCCTAAGTCCAGCAAATTAATTTAATATCATCTTCAAATAGTATCTACAATATAAGATACATTATTTTGGGTTTGTTTTATCTCACCTTTCAAAAAAAAAAATCACTCAAGTATGTTCAAAATGATTAAGAATAAAATAATGCAGCCTTCCCTATGTAACCTAAAATTATGGGATAGTAAGAGTTATGGCATTTTTTTGTTGTAAATGATCCTGAGGTTAAAGCACAGCAGTAGAATAATACAATGCCCAAGAGTAAGATTATGAAAACCATTTAAGTGAGCTAGGTGTTCTGCTTCCCATCAGGAATGTGCAAGACCATGCAGAGTAGCAGTAATGCTTTATTCCTTATTTCCTTAGTAAGGGACTTGCACAGCAATCAGTGAGCTTACTATGAGCATATCCTTCTAAAACAAGGAATTCATCTACCATCTGAAAGCCCGTGTTAGATATATATTATTGGAACTAAATCCAGACATTCTACACATTTGAATTTTATTCATAGCCCATTACAACAAGAGACAATTTAGTCATCCATCAGGTAGTAGATGATATATAGGTTAACAGACAGAGAAACCATGCTGTTGACTTCCTATTCCTGTTTGCAAGAACAGATGGATATCAAAGGAAAACTAGCTCAAAGATCTACCTGGCCTATCATTCTGTTTCTGCAAGTGACCAACAAATATCTACAAAAAATCTTGAAGTTACACGTGAATATTAATAGGTTCTTCCTACTAGTCTCCAAAGTAATGCTGCATTAGGCACTGTTTGTGACTATTAGTAGTCACTGGTAACTTTAGCCACCTTCTGAATGGAAGACATTTCTAGTCTTTATTTCATTTAGAAACAATAGTTACTGAAGCTATTTTAAAAGGCAGGAACAGATATGCTGCAATATGGGAGGAATATTGTTTTTTTAAATAAATCCCAAGCCCAATATTCTCCTGGAACCCAGAGATTTAAAAATTTAGCACCTGTAAAAGATTAAAATTATAGCAAGTGTAATAGAATTATGTTGGAGAACAACCTTTCTGGACGGGAACAGTGGTCAAACTCTTCAGAAGTAGTCTGGAGTTGTTATATAAACAAAGTCTGACTCCCCTTGAATGCCGTTGGATTTTATCTAGTGTTTCCCACTGTGGGAAGATTCCTGTGAAATAAGCATTGAGCAATAAAGTAGCTCTAATTTGTATTCTACATATGTGGGTCTGGTTCTTCGCACCTGACAGATTGGTATTCAGATTAACAAATAGTTTTTGAGAAAGAAAAATCAACTAATGATAGATGTTTATACATGAATATATTATCTGCCCACCAAAATTTATCAGCGGACAGAAAGAAACTTTACTTTTATCTTAGTTATATTTTAAACACTAGTGCATCTTCGTACTGATCTACTCTGATGTTTCATTAGAAATTTTAAAAATGGCACATTTTAAAGGTCAGAGAAGAAGCTGGACACAGAAATAGTCATATGTCATGAATTTTGGATTAAAATGGTTTCTCTATGGTGGCTTGAAATAAACTTTTCAGGTTTCTTTGTGGCCTGGGAATAAAAAAGAAGTTTCAGTGCATAAGCCATAAATAATTAGTACTTTCTCAAACCAACAGGTTATCTTTTAGAGAAAAATATAAGTAACTAAAAGGCAATTAAAATGACATCTCCTCACGGTAAAATTTTTCAAATAAAATAAAAGCCTCTTTATGCAAAAGAAAATATATATCAAACCAAAAGAGCAGGCAAGTCTTTAAAATGCAAACATTACAAAACTGAATTTAGTTTTCAAGAATAAATTAAAATCTGGCTTTTATTACAGAACAATCTTCTGGCTTCTATTAAAACTTGCTTTGGAATACCCAGGCAAACTCTCCTGGGATCTGTGGTGAGCTTGTATTAGATTAGCACAGGCACCACTTTTAAACATTACCAGAACACCATGGTGTATGCTCCATAAAACCCTCCCTTCTCATCCTTTTCTTTTCAAGAGAAACAAGCCTCTTGAAAGACATGTATAAGAAAAAATGGAGAGAATTCTTGGGGATAGAAATGAATTTTTTTAAGTGTAGCATTCAAAATACTGTTATTAATAAACATCAATCTATAGTGCTGCTCTGACTAAACCATGCACTGAAAGAATCATTAGCAAGTAAACAGCAATTTCAACCCAATATGGGACAATCTTCCTTCAGCATTTTATCAGAAAGACAAGTCTAAACAAAGTATTTCCGGTGATATAAATGCAGCAACAATAGGTTTTTATTTAAATATAAAAGTTTATTATATTGCTAAGCAAACCACTACTCTGTCATCATTGCAAGAGGTATTATATAAAGTGGAGAAATTAGAAAAATGACCAAATATAATGCTGTTTTTCAATCTTAAGTATGTTGAAGCTTGTTATAAAATATGGTTGCCTTTATTTCATAACTACAAGATATATTTTTCTTTGGTGCTTTAGAGAGTACTGTCTTATTTTGTAGCTAAGATATATAGTCTCCAAAGACCAAACTTATCAGATGTGTTATAAATCCTTCATTTGAAACTATTAAAAATCCACAGTTATTTCAGGTTTCCTATCAAAGAGGAATCCCATTCACAAATTCTGTATCTCTCATAACACAGTTAATTTGTCATGGCAACCTCTGAATCATGCATGTAATGCAGTTTGCTAAGTTTGTGGCAACAGAGGGCATTTCCCCCTCCTTCCTGTCTGTTTATGAAAAACCGGACTTATAAATCGGACTTTTAAAAGACACTTTATAAATCAAAATGGCAATAAAATCTAACAAAAAAGGAAGCAACAATCCATCAGAGTAAAACCACTATAAAAACATATCCAATTGCAACAGGGCCATAATCATCTGTAAAAGGAAACTCACTAACCAGCAGCAGTTTCCAATGTATTATTTAAAGAGAATGTTTTGTTGAAGAAAAGCAGAAAAAAGGAACAATCATATGCAAGTATTATGACATTTTCTATAACCTCCTGAAAATGTGATGAAAGTTTCTAGAATCTGAACAAGCATAATTTCAATGGTGATTATGACAAATCTATTTGTGTGTGCATAGTCCTGCACAGTGTGGGGAGCCCCAAAACACCATGAAAAAGCTTCTTTAAGTAGATTTACTAGTGAGTTAATTAAGGATTGTTGCTATCCCTTTTGGAGATGGCAATTTAATTGTGTAGGAGAGGGGTGTCAAATTCAAGGCCTGGGAGCCAGATCTGGCCTGCGTGGCCGCCCTGGAAACAGCAAAGAATTGTCCGCGGTGCCTCTGCCAGTGAAAACAGAGCTCGAGAGGGCCGTTTTCGCTGGCAGAGGGTTGCAGGAGATTGTTGCAGCCAAAAACAGAGCCAAGGAGCCCGTTTTCGCTGGCAGAGCACTCGGGTCACCACAGACACCTCCGACATGAGTGATGTCGAGCTAGCCATGTTCTCCCGGGCCCCCCCAGGTCAAACACAATCCTGATGTAGCCCTCAATGAAATCGAGTTTGACACCCCTGGTCTAGGACAATAAATATTCTAGATACATACTAGCGAATTGTATTGCCTTACTTGATACATACCATTCTACAAGATGCACGAAATTATTCCCCTACAAACATTGTTAACATTTAAATAAATATAAATATGAAAATTTAGTTACAAACTGCAAGAAAACAAACTGTGCTTAGTACAAAAGTTACTAAAAAGTACAAACAACATCTATATATATAAATATGTATATGTATATGTATATGTATATGTATATGTATATGTACACATTTCCTAGTCTAGCAAAGGGTATACAGATCATAAACTTATGAATATAAGCTTTGAGGGACACTGTGATACCTCTAAGCAACTCTTTTTTTCCCACTACTCCATATGCTATGTGATAGCAAAAGTATCTGTGATGTGAAATCTACTGGTTCAGGTTTTGAGGTAACCTACCCTGCTGGACTTTTACATCTGTCTTAAAATATAACTTTTTATTTTTATGGAACTCCAACTAATTATAACCAAACATGGCTTGCTCTCCGATACTTTTCTCTCAAGCTCAATTTCAAAGTTAGTGCTACCACTTTTCGGTTAAGAAACTTGCAGAACTGCCTCAAGAGACTATGCCTTAATAAAATTAAGCACACTGTTAGCACTCTTGTCCAGCTGTATATTTTCGTTTATATTAGCCAAGTTACAATCCTATATAATAACCAATAATAGTTTTGATGGCATTGTACCAATTATCAAGTATACAATGTGCAGGCTTCTATATTTTATCACATAAGAAAATAGGAAAACCTAATTTTATAATATTAAGCCTGGATTTTAGTTTTTTTTCCCCCCCATTCCACTTCTGTAACTAAGAAAACACTGCTTTCCCTAAAATTAATTCCAGAATATGGAATAGTTGCAAACTTTGTCTCATTTTAAAAGTAAAATAAATCTAATCTTATCACAGGAAACATATTATTTTTTCCACTTTCCATTTCATATCATACTGGAAAATAATACATACAATATCTCATTGATAATTCCGAAGTGGTTTTGCTACCTGTGTTCTCCTTTTTGAGTGATTCTCCATTAAATAATTTTTATTTAATCTAGGATAATATCAAAATTCCCCATGTTTGCCTATATAGGTAGTCCTCAATTTAAAACCACAATTGAACCCAAAATTTTTGTTGCTGAGACATTTGTTAAGTGAGTTTTGACCCATTTACAAACTTTCTTTCCAGAGTTGTTTAGTGGTTCACGGCAATTGTTAAATTAGTAACAGGTTCACTTCACAGTTGTTAAGTGAACCTAGCTTCCCCACTGACTTTGCTTGACAGAAGGTCAACAAAGGTGATCACATGACACTGGGACATTGCAGCAGTCAAGTCATTGAGTCAGTTGCCAAGTTGTCTGAATTTTGATCACCTGACTATGGGGATGCTGCAATGGTCGTAAATTTGGTGAAAATTTGTTATAAATCACTTTTTTCTGTGCCACTGTAACTTCGAACAATCACTAAATGAATTATTGTAAATCTCTATTAGAGAAGCAATTATTTTTAAAAAGTAAAGTTATTTAAGTGAAACCCCTTATTACTAAAGACATTTTACTAGTTGTATCATCCTTAGAAATGTATTCTATTCCCTCTTTGAAGAATGAGGGATTTTATATATGATTCACAATTTACTTATTGGATTGCAGAAGGTCCAGAACACAAAAATTAAACATACACCTTTAGTAAGTAGATAAAAGAGAACAGCGAAGGAACTTTATTCAATACTAACCTCAAGAAATACAAGATATGAACTAGTGTTTGACTTTAGATACAAATGACTGGCAAAAAATATACTCCTTAAAACATGCATATAACATAGTACACAATAAGTATTCTGTATTACTTCTCTCTTTCTCTGCCTTCTTAATAGCATTATCTATTAATAAACAGTCATTCCTAAAATCTTATTTTCATTTTTGTTTAAATTAAGAGGTTTTTTTTCAGGCAGAGATATGCACACATTTAAAACCACATTGTAAATATTTTCATAATTCATACAAAAAAAAATTCTCATCAACTTCTGTTCAATCTTCAAGATATTTCTGCTTACCTGAAAAACCTTCAAATGTAATTTTTTCTCCAGGAACAACTCCGTTAGGAGGAATTATAATTTCCACTTTTTCTGGTGTGCTAGCACACATCAACATGGCTTGGGACACCACTCCTCTCATTTTTACTGGTTTTAGGTTGCAGAGAAACACAGCCATCCGGTTTTGCATCTATATAGAAGTTAAAAGAAAAAAAGTGGAATTTATTGAGGCCTTTTCAGGTTCCTACCAAACAAAGAAGGAAGGATTAATGCAAAGAACAAAAATAGACAAAAAATATATTTTTTCTTTCACTAATCCAACATTAAGAAATATTTAATGGTTAATGATCCTCTAGCATACAAATGCAATAAGAAGCAATAAAAACATTAGCATTGTGTCCTAATGTGCTGGATGATAGTTGAAGCAGTATTTTATTTGATTTCCATTCTTAGTGATCAAAAGTCACTAAATTAAGAATTTTAAACTAATTAAGGAAATTATAACAAATATGTTCAGGTGGTTTACCACTCAGGATATAATATGGTATGCATATTTACAAATCCCAAATGTCAGGATAGAGCAACTGTTTGGAACAAATTAAATTGAAATGGTTGCGTATAATATGCCTTCCAAAACATTCATTTAAACTCTAAAGGCTTCTGTTCCAACCCAGATTTGAAGGGAAGGGGAAGACAAGTCCCCTTTGATGTGACACCTGGTGACTTCATTTAGACATATAATTTTTTGGGGAATTGCTATGGAAGCAGTTTGCCATTGACTTCTTTTAGGGCATGTTTTCCATTTCCCAACATACAATTTACAGATAGCCTCCATTCATAAATGGAGGCCCAACTGGGTTGAGCTTCCCAGCCCAAGGAAGGTACTGCCACCTGCTGAGACAACCTCTAGGGAAGAAGAGCACAAAGAAAACAAGAAAACTGAATCCATCAGGGACAATGCAATCAACAGTTTTGTCCAAGGAAATTAAATTTTAGTACATGGGAATTCTGATCAAAATGCAACAAAATCTTAACCATAGCTCAATGAGAAGACATATGGAAAAAAATAATAAAATTTGCATCAAGCTACAATTGAGGAAAAATGGGTACAAAATATTCTATAGCTGGTTTATAAGTCTCTCAATAATTGTCAGGACTGATAAATCTTGTAACAATAAATGTTGGAAATGGCATAACAAAGAAAGAACTTTTTACCATATATTGTGGTTATGAAAAAAAATCAAAAGTAATGGACGGAAATATGCCAAAAATTCCAAACAATTCTATAAATAAATTTGAATTAAAAACACAAATATTTTTATTAGGTATTATCTGAGAAAATATAAATGAAAAATGTAACAATTTATTATGATATATGGTAACAGCAGCAAGAATCAATCTGGTACAATACTGGAAAATAGAAACCTTGTAGTTGGGGGGAAAAGGTGTGTGTGTGTGTGTAGGTGTGTGTGTGTGTGTGTGTGTGTGTGTGTATTCTTATGACCAATTTTGCTTTATAATTCATTTTCTCAAATTTCTTTATATCCAGGTTTTTATTTTTGTCTTTTTTTTCCTTGAACATTTTAACCAATACAAATGCATAGTGGTTTAGATCAAATCCTTTTTAACAAGAAAGGAACAAGAAATATTCCAGATATGATCGTATTGGATTTAGGCCGTTGGAGATTCTTCACTACATAAGAAAAGCCAAGCATGCTACACCATAAAATAATGGTGTGCTTGATATTAGTTAAAGCATGTTTCACATTAGACAATGATCACAACAGAAACCTGTGATAAATTAGAACAATAAGTAAAACAAATACCAGCAGAATGCTATGGAAAATACTTTCTTCTGATCCATGAATATTAAGAATAATTTGCTCAGCATATTATAAAGTGGGTTCTGACTGTATAACAAATTCAGATACAATAGACATTATATGAACAATAAAGGTCAAGATCCTTGTTAGTTTTCTTTATTTCTGGCATAGAAATACAAAACTTTTCCATCTGTAATTGAGCAACGTGGGTTTTGGAACATTTCTAAAAGTACAAACTGAACTAATGAAGATAACTTTTGTTATTGAGGAAGAAATGCAAAATCTTGCCTACATGCCTTACCAATGTCCAATGTATTACAACCGATCACCAGATTAAACTGCATCTACAAATACATAGAAGACAAGAGTATGGAACTAATATTAGCCTTTCTGGGTATGCTGCATAGATCTCAGAGGACCACTTGAATCTTCAAAGTAGTAGATTTTTTTTGAGATAGTGAAACTTTTGATATCTTTTTAATGGTTTAAGTAAACCACTAAGCCTCAACTTCAAGATCTCAAGATTTTGAGGTTGAAGCATTTAACTGGAACATACTATAAATAGTTATACATAAATGATGAACAATAATAAATAAATAATAATAAATAATAAATAAAAACGTTGCTAACGCCTCAAATAAGACATCAGAGATATTTTATTTATACCTCTTCTAAAGGAACATGTTTCACCAAACCGCTGACAACAGTTCTTAGATTTGCTTCTCCAACATCAACTTCCTCAATATAAAGACTATCAGCATCTGGGTGTTTCTTTGCCGTCATAATACAACCAATACGAAGATCAAGTCGAGAAACATCTAAAGGCTTTGAATCATCATTTGCAGCTGTCTGCTTTTTTTCTTTCTTTTCTCCTACAAAAAGGAAGGAAACCAAATTAATAAATCCTCTGATGGAATTCACTTCACAAAACTACCTATTTTTTTTCTTTTTTCATTACAAAAACTGCCTTATGTAAAGTATTAAGAACACTTTCATGACATCAAGACCAAAAACATTGCAATTATATCAACAACTGTAATAAAAAGCATAGTTGTAAAAATAACATAATATTATTTACTCTAACAATAAACATGGCATCAAAAATAAATCATTGTTCCTGTTTATCCAGTAATCCCTACAATTTCTGAAGCATAGCTGTAAACAAAAAGGATGAAAAATTTTAAAACTGGCAAAACAAAGTCCAATTTCCATTTACAGAATGAGGAAAAGATAGTTACAAGCCTGAGAGCAGTTGAGAGAAAAGCAAAGGGTATTAATCAGGGGTGAAAATCCAGCCAGTTCTATCTGGCTCGGGCGAACCAGTAGCAGCAGCTGCGGGAGGCTCTGCCCACCGGTGCGGACATGATGATGTTGCTTTTTTGCAACATTTTAAGCCTCTGCGCATATGCAGAAGGCGTTGCACATGACAGGGTGCGCACATTGGCAAACTAGTAGGGAAGTAAGTAAACTTCACCCCTGGTATTAATGTGTAGAGTTGAATTAGAAAATGAGCCTGCCGAAGTCTCTAATGACGTATTACCTTTCTTTTCTGTTTTGTCTTTCTTCTTCTTTTCTTCACTGGGTCCCTTGATTTGTTCCTTAGGATCAGATAGAGCTTCGGCAGCAGATGATGTCTGAGAGAGATCCTTGGAAAATGAAACTGCAGAAGCCGTCTCACTAGGTGGCACAGATATTTGTTTCACTAAAGTTAAACACAAAATATTCATTCCAATTAATTACATCTTGATTCTGATATTTAAACCTATTTTGTGAAATCTGTTGGAATAAAAGTACATTGTTTAATGAAAAATGTTTTCTTCCATGTTTCCAAGCACATGCTTATATTTATATGCATTACATTTTAAGCCTTCTGATTTTTTTTGTTCATATCATAACAATTAATGGTAAAGAAAATCACAAAGAAGATCGTAATCAAAACCAAAACAAACTGAAGTGTGAAGTCACTGATCTTCATGTGGAAATTTCAATCCATATTTTTTTTAGTCGGGTTGATTACAATGAGTTAATAGTACAATTAAAATATAACCATATACAAAAAAGAACAAAAGGATAGAAGTTATAAACTGCATACGTTTATGGATGTCCACTGTATTATACGAAAAATATCAGACCTGACCATAATACTTTTCAACATTTTCAATCCTTCTCTGCAAATAAAGTTGTATCAACTTAGTCTTCAAAAACAAACAAAACAAATAGTTCAAGTTTGCCAATATAACTTCTTCCTGAGATACTATAATACAGGCTATTTCTTAACCTTCACCAAAATCTTTTTTTGCAAGACTAAGTGGAAATGAAGCATAGGTAATAGGGTAGCAAGTATCTTTCTCTTTCCTCCTGATTTTTCCTTCTCATTCATATCACATTAAGCAAAATAAATGCAATTTTGCCCCCTTTTAATGCTTCTTTTAATGTTTTTTTTTAAATACTGACCATACAAAAAATAGGCCTCACTATAAATGAGATATGCTTGCATAAAATAACACAATATTTTTCACCTCCATTTCGAATTTCTGCTTGGATCAATTCCTGTTTTAGCACTTCAATTTCTTTCTTAAGTTTAGCATTTTCAACACGTAGTTTCTTCTCTTCCCTCAGAGATGCCTGCAAGACTATAAGAGGCAGAACTCTCATTAGAATCACTGAATTGTAAAAAAAAAAAATGGTTGAGTTTCATTGCTAGGAGCTAAATATGAGTAACAGTACACTTGTTTTGAAAGCTTCAAGAAAATGGAGAAATTTCCTAATTACTTGTACCTTATGTACTTTGATTAAACATTTATATTAAAAATACAGAGTTACACTGGATACATTTACAAGTATGAAAGTTCCCGGAATCATTTATAAATCTATTATGAGTGCTGAAATATGCGATTTAAAAATAGTGTCATGATATAAAAACAAACAGACATGAGCAAAAGTCATGATAATGGGAAATACATCAACAAGCAATCAAAAAGTTCCATGTTATTTCCATTAAAGATTGTGGAAGAAGGAACAGGTGTCTGTAGAGAGATCCTATGGAATGATTACGTCAGTATTCACTCCAGCTTTTCTAAATATTAAAACAGATATTTTACCACCCAGTATTGTTATTAAAACCCTGCAGTAATACCCCCTGAACGCTGTGTTTTCCAATTAAATCCATAACATATACAAAAGGGACTCCTTACTCAATTCACACTTCTTCCCTCTTTTCCTTGGCATATATTCTAAGAAATGAACTGTTGTGCTTTGGTTCTGGTGGGAATATAAACTGGAACCATGGTATATGCCTATTCCAATGGAATGCATAGCTAAACACTTTATTGTTTAAATGTTCTCTATCAAGAAACCAGGAGTGGAAAAAAGATGACAGATTCTGGAGATATTATCTGAGAACTATGTGGAAACTGTTGAAAAGTTTCATTTCATATTTGTAAGTAGAAACCTTGTTTATTGACTCTAGGCCATAAAATCTCTTCAGATCATAAAAAGGACAAAGCTTTATTATACATGCATTACATACAAATCTTAAAATCCTGAACAATAGAATTAAAAAAAAAATCTCCATTATTGTAACCATAATATTGTTGAACATACCCTGTTTCCCCAAAAATAAGACCTCCCCGGATAATAAGCCCAATCGGGCTTTTGAGCGCATGCGCGAAAATACTGCCCCCCCCCCCCCGAAAATATTTATACGCATGTGCAGCCAGTCCCCACCATTTCCTCGGGTTAGGGTTATGGAGACAGAGCTCGAAATCAGGTAACATGGCAAGAGAAGCCCCATCTTGGTCCATGTGCCCCAAATAATAAGACCTCCTCGAAAATAAGGTCAAGCGCTTATTTCGGGTTTCAAAAAAATATAAGACAGGGTCTTATTTTCAGGGAAACATGGTACAATTTTGTTTTTGTTTTACAAAAAATTCAGAGTAGTCAGACATGTATCTTGATGTAACTTTTTAAAAATCAGATAAATGGAAGATTCTAACAAAGGAGATGAAAAAGCAAATCCCTTTCTTTAAGAATTGTAAACTGCAATAAAAAAAATGGAGAACAGCAGAAAAAGCAAATTCAAAATATACACAAAAAAACTAAATGGAGGCTTGCAAATGAAAAGGGATGCAGTTTTCCCCCCAAATGCTTTTCTAGAAATGGTCATGGAAAGTTGTCTGTATTTTCTTCTATGTAACCAAATTTGTAGCTTCAGTATCCAGCTCTGTGTGTATTTCTGTTCTTCCCCAGGTTGCATGCATGTGTATGCACTGGGAAGCACAGAATGGGCTTCTAATCTCCATTCTGAGGTTGCATATATAGAAGTGGAGGGGGGCAGTTCAGATTGGAAAATGGCAATATTTTCAAGCTGCTGCCCAACAGCCTTTCCCAAAGGAAAACAAGTAGGGGAGTTTGAAGGAAGCGGGAAATATTTTTTTCAGCAGTCTCCATTTGCCAGCCTCCACTGCGTAGCTAAATGTTCAATATTCAGAGAGTTATCTGTTGACAGTTCCTTTATATAATTTATTTCTAACATTCCATCAAGTTAGAGAAAATAAAAAGTAAATAGAAAAGAGGCCACTGTTCAAAGGAACAGTGCACAAATGGTGACAGGAAAACTCAGAATAAGTTGAGGTTAGTGAAGAATGTTAGCGAAGAAGAATATTCATATTAAGGATATGAAAGTGAGCTAGATACATTCAAAAGTAAAGAATGTATGTATGTATGTATGTATGTATGTATGTATGTATGTATGTATATTTGTATATACCGGCTGCTCAATAAAGATAGCAAAATGTTGACGGTAACCTGGATAAGGCACAGATTTTCGAACAGTTCAGACCAGTTTAACAAAAAGTATGTATCAGAAGGAATAGGATTGAAGTTTGAAATGAATGGATACATGATTACAGAATATCTATTTGTTCTGAATGTGTCTCTGCCTTGAGGATCAGATGAAGATTCTAGGATACTAAAGGAACTAATCAAATACTTAGGAAAAAACTAAGAAACTGATGAGGTGTCAGATTGGAGAAGAGTGAATGTTGTCCCATCGTAAATAAAAGAAAATCAGCAAACTTCAAACCAATCAGTCTACATTGATAACTAGGAAGATTTTAAAATAGATAATATATTATTGAAAACAATGTAATAATTAAGGAAGCTTAAATAGATTTGTCAAGAACAAGTAATAGGCTAACCTTATCACATGTTTTCTCCCTGCCAAAAAAAGTGTGTATAGTCAAGGGTATGGTTTTCCCAGTTGCAATGTATGGCTGTGAAAGTTGGACCATAAGAAAGGCTAAGTGCCAAAGAATTGAGGCCTTTGAACTATGGTGCTGGAGAAGACTCCTGTGAGTCCCTTGGACTGCAAGACAATCAAACCGGTAAGTCCTAGAGGAGATCAACCCTGACTGCTCTTTAGAAGGCCAGATCCTGAAGATGAAACTCAAATACTTTGACCACCTAATGAGAAGGAAGGACTCACTGGAGAAGAGCCTAATGCTGGGAAAGATTGAGGGCAAAAGAAGAACGGGACGACAGAGAACGAGGTGGCTGGATGGAGTCACTGAAGCAGTAGGTGTGAGCTTAAATGGACTCCAGAGGATGGTGGAGGACAGGAAGGCCTGGAGGAACGTTGTCCATGGGGTCACAATGGGTCAGTACAAATACTGTAGATGTTTGCTGTAAATAGTTACGGTGCTGGCCTAGATACCAGGAACCTGTGAGCTCTAGGCCCCCCCTAGATATGTAATAATTTGTATACAGTTAACAAAACAATAGCATGCTGATTAGAAAACAAATCCTGGTGGACTAGACAGCAGTTCTTTTCTTAGGGACATAAAATCAAATGCATCATTACTAGGGATATCAGATTTAGTGATGGTAGGGTGTTGGTTTTTGTTTTTTTTTAAATCATTGTTAAAGCAGTGTGAGCTAAGAGCTAAGTTGGAACCAGGACAGTGGCTGCAAAAAAACCTCAAATGTAATTTAAGGCTGCATCAAGAGAAATATAATTTCTGATTCACAGTATATAGTCATTCCACTTAATTCTGCATTAATCTAACTCGATATTTCTGACATAACACGTTTAAGCATTATTCACAGAAATTGGAACAATTTAGGGAAAGGCAACGAAGATGCCTAAGGTGCTATAAGTCTATTCAGACAGATTGAAGAAGTTGAGTGTATTTAGCCTTGAGGAAAAAATAAGTGAGGTATAAATATGATAGCATTATTTAAAGATCACTAAACGTGTCACATAGAAGGTCAAGACCTCTTCTCTCTTGTTCCAGAATACAGGAATGGATGTAAGCTACAGGATAGAAGAATGGATGTAAACTACAAGAAAGCAGATTGTGATTGAATGTTAAAAAAGAATTCATAGCAGCAAACTCAGTTCAACAGAGAGTCTGTGAATTCACTATTTCATGCAGTCAAATGGAGGTTAGACAACTATCTGTTTAGGATGCTATAATTTGGGTTTCTCCACTAAATGAGTGGGACTGAATAACATAAATCATCCTTTCAACTCTATGATTCTACTGACTATAAAACCATAATTTCCCTTCTTACTGTTATTACAGTTTTAATTCAGGTACCTATTAGCCATAACTATAGCAGTTTATTTAAAAGAGCACTGCCAAATATACCCATTGACAGCTTTTAAAACCAGCTAAACTTATCTTCTGAATTTTAAAAAAGTGGGAAATTATGTGTTATTATAGTCTTTTATAGGAAAAGCTATTACCTGAAATAGATCTTTAAAATCGTTAAGTTTAGATTTTACTCACTGATTTAGAAAGGATAATTAATAATCTATTTTAATGTTATGACTTACTGGCTTTTTCTTTCAGAAGAGCAACTTGCTGCTTAAGGTATTCAATAATTTGATCTGCTTCAGCGCCCTTCTGCTCCAGTCTATTCAAAACTGCGTTGTTGGCTGCCATTTTCATTAAGGAGCGGACTAAAATCCTAGATAAGAGAAACAGGATACCATAAACATATTATTAATGCAATTATTTCCAACATTGTTTTGAATAAATAGATTGAACATAATTAATAATAAACATATTCACTTTTTTCCCCAGAACTCAAAGTTCTGGGGAACTTGTCACACTGACTTTGCTATGTATAGTCTTTACTTTTACTTTAGTTTATTTTTTAGTTATAAAAAGGTCACATTGCCTATTATCTGTAATAACTATGTTTTTTCTATGTATAACAATATGCATTCCACTTTTTAAAAGGTAAAAGACAAACTGAGTCAACTGAACTCAAACACTTATAAGATGGATCATTTTCCTTGTGAAAAAGTTTTGTGTTCTGTGGCAAGCATTTTCTAAGCTGTAAATCTCTTTGAGATCTGAATCTTGGAATAACGAAAATAGCTATTAGTAAGGCTATACATAAGCACACTTGCACATACTAATTTCTCTTACCAGTTCTTTCTGAAATATTCTACCAAATTCATATTCTGAAGTCAAAAGTTTTAACTTTTTACTAATCTTCATTGACCATACTGAGTAAGCACTTGACTTACACAAACTTCTGGTGAAGTAAACAATAGCAACAATGACAGGCAAATAAGGATTGCTTCTTTTCTAACAATTGCTTCACTACAATTTCTTCTATTCCAGACTTTTTCAGCATAGTTTATTTCTGGATATATTTTCAAATTTCAGCATCTTAAAACATTCAGGAAGGCCATTGTACAATGAATGTCTTCTTATGTTATGTTCTATCCAAGACTACTATGCTTTTGTTGGTTTTCATCAAATATAGAACTATAACTTATTTTCTTACTTCCACAATGCATCTTTTTATTTAGTCTCATCATAACACATAATTAATCATGGCACAGATCCAAAGATACAACTACTGTAGGCCTCTCTTTCATTTATCTTCTCAGTTTATTTTGGTTTGTGTGTTGAAGAATCCACATTTTTAAACGTTATTAATTTAACCCTAAATTCACTAAATTCACTAAACTATAAACTAGTTATCTTTTTATTAGATTATACCCCACTTCAATTTAATCAGATTTTGCTTACAATATCCATGCAATATTTGAATTCACATGGCTAGCTGATCTGATTTCTCCCCACTACAGAATTAAGGTTCTATATTTTACTGCAAAAACCTGTAGGATATATTAATACATTCACTATGAGCTCTGCTATTCCAATATTCACCTGTATGCCATTATAAACATCGATGAATATGACTGGAAAATATCCAGGAATGGAGAACATCCCGAAATATATAATGTCAGTTAATATTACTATTTAATTGAGACCTCACTAAAACGAGTGAGTGGTTGATAGATTAACAACAGATCCCGCATCTTCCCCCCTCATCCCAGTCCTTCCCTCCTTCTCCATCTTTTAACTGGGCCGCGGTATTTGGATCTATACAGTATTTTATTTATGTTTTTTAGGTTTTGTATAGTTTTTATCTTTTTAAGATTGTAAGTGCCCAGAGATATTCTGTGGTAAGATGGCTGGCCAATAAATTTTACAAATGAAAAATGAATAAATAAAACTAGCAAGAAAATTTAATCATTTACTTAACAGTTTACATGGGCAATCATGAAAAAAAAAATACAGAACGTTTACACAGCCATTACATTTCTGCCACAAAGCACCTGATTAAGCCACTTTAAGGTATTAAAAATACACACTATTTCTTAATACTGCTTCTATCTGTTTAATTAGGATTAATTTAACTAATTTATAAATTTGTTCTGAGGCCCTTTGACTAATGGGTACAATAAGAATGCCAGAAAAAAATTCAATAAATGTAAATCAATCAATTTACCTATGAGTAACTACAAGAACTTGTACCTGAACAGGCAATAGGCACTGCATTCTTAATCATTAGGCAAGCTTCTTTGGTCAACTAATACCAAACTCTTAGTCTAACATATGCTGAAGATAGTATGTTTTCTTATCTACAGGTCCATCCTAAGTTAATAGAATACAAAACGCTGCATAAATAGAACTTTTATTAACACACTGCTCAATATCAACGTATTTAAGAAGTAAAGTTCCCAATATCCAGATGACTTTAGTAAGTTAATGAAAACTGCAGAAGTATCTGAAAATGGCTGTCAGACTGGATTTAAAGATGCAATTCATTTCGATATTTTTGGCAAATTTCCTAGGAATCAGGGACGATGAAATTCACAGAATTAGATTTTCAATTTACTTTAGAATGACTTTATGTATAGATGTTAAATATATATATCATATATCATAGGTCTCCTAGAGCAGGTGGCAAGCCCCTGGTCAATTCTGATCTTAACCAGAGCTGGATTTGGTTAGCATCTGTGTGGGAAATCACCAGGAAATCCTGGAACCATGGAGAAGTCAATAAAACATCAAGACAACAATGGCAAACTATTTCCACATTACTGCCAATAAAACAACATGAAAATGTACAGGGAGTTCACTGGGGATCAAGTTTAATCTGAAATACATTTTACTTTTCCCCTTCAATCAACAGAAATCTCTCCCTCCCTCGCTCCCCCCTCTCGTTTCTTTTGATAAACATCAATTTGGATTAGACACAAGGCATACCAAATCCAGTATTCTGGGCAACATCCAAGATTCTATGGACAGATTCCTGTTTTCTTTATTTTACCTTCTCTTCAACAGCAGAGACTCTTATCTGATCCCAAAATTCTCTAACTCGCAAGAATGAAGCATTTTTAGGATGTTCCTATTATCTGAGACAACACTCTGTTCCTTTTGAAATAAATTAACTGACTGCATATAACCCATAAGCAAGAAATAAACAAACTGCAATCCTTCTCCATATATATACTTAAACTGCTTAGTAACTGATAACTATACAGAAAAAAAAATAGGATCTTAGCCATGAAGGTTTTAGGCTTTTTCAACATCAGTAATGGACTTAGACAAAGGTTCAACAGAGAAAATTTTCATAAAGTGACCCACAGCTGCATATGTTGGCTCTAGGATCTTTGGGGAGCTGAAAGCTGCAGAAAGCATAAAATACTGGCAAAGATCCCTCCACTAGAAGCAGCTTTCTATAAACAGAATTTTCCTTATTATCTCTCTGAATCGAACCACTCACATTTAAAGAACTTGAAGCTCATTACAAAACTAAAGGTAGTTACTATCCCATTGCAGATCCTCTATGCAAAAGGAAGACATCTAGCATTCCACAAAAACATTTCACTAAACATTTAATAGCTCTGGCAGTCTCTATGGCTCTGGCACAAATTCAAATTTTTTAACCATTGCCTGGACTTTGCTTCTGGCTTTTTGTATTTCAACAGTTGCAGGAGGGGAAGGGGGGGGGGGGGGGGGTGGGGGGGGGGAGGGGGGGGGGGGAGAAAATGTTTGTATTTCCAATAAAACTTTTCAATTAAAAAAAAAAAACAGTTGCAAGTCATCAACTGATGTCATGCACAGGCCATGCCCACCCCAGCTCCGCAAAGGCAAAAAACATCACAATACGTCATGTAATACCAACTTGATGCAGTGAGTTTGACATCCATGCCCTATAACAAATAGTTATCCAATCTCTTCTTTAAAACTTCCAGTGTTGGAGCATTCACAACTTTTGGAGGCAAGTTGTTCAACTGATTAATTGTTCTGTCAGAAATCAAATTTCTCCTTAGTTCTAAGTTGCTTCTCTCCTTTATTAGTTCCCACCTATTGCTTCCTGTCCTGCCCTCAGGTGCTTTGGAGAATAACTTGACCCCCTCTTTGTGGCAGCTCCTGAGATATTGGAACACTGCTATCATGTCATCCCTAGTCCTTCTTTTCATTAAACTAGACATACCCAATTCCAGCAACTGTTACTTCATTGATATTTCATTATAAATTACACCTTTTTCAGGAATTAACACAGAAAAAAAACAATGAAAAATAGTATGACTCTTTTATAATAATTTTTTGATTTTTGAAGAGAAACAATAAAAAACAAAAAGATAAAGATTATGTTAACCCTTGTATAGATTTAACATACCTGTGAAAACTTAGAAATTTTTTTTCATTTTTTTAAGTGGAAAAAATGTTTTACTTGCAAAGATCTTACTAAATTGTCTTCAAATACTCTCACCCCAAAACATGCTTACCCAAAGAATATGAACTCAATAAAATTCAGGAGGAAACGTTTTGTTATTACAGGATTGCTTTCCCACAAATATAGGGGTGGGAAAAATCAAGGATGATGAGAATATACCCTGATAGTTTTAATTATATATAAAATATGGGAAAAAAATGTCCTCACAGCTTTCTGTATTTAGATGCAGAGCAGTTAAAAATAAAAAAAATGAAGGGATGAACAATTACATCTTTATGCAGAGAAAAGTCATTTTTTAACTCCATGGAAAGAATACAAAGAAAATATCATAGAACAAAAAACTAATATTAGAACTGCTAATTCAGACAGAATGTCATGTAGCAAAATGTGTATCCACTGCTTTTTCCTAAAAATGTAATGTTCTCTTTAATATAATGTTTGAAGTTAGGGCAGCACTGAATGAAGGGGCACACAACTTACCCCTGAAGTTATTGCAGCATTCCAGTCATGTGATCAAAATTTGGGTGCTTGGCAGCCCACCAGCATTTACTACTCCAGGAGTGCTTCAACTACCCTCATATGCCTATCTCCCATCTATACTTTTTTGGGCCCCTGCACTCTGCAACCTCTGCTACCCTAGCTGACCTTCACTAAATTCTTGCTCCCACTTCCAATGAATATTCCACATGTCACACACTGTGGTTTCATATCTGTGGAAGGAGGCCTCGTGTAGCCAGCAGCTGCCTTGTTAAGGATCAGGGAATGTATGCCTTGACAGCAGCAAGAGCAAGAATCAATGAGCAAGGTCAACTGAACTGTGTGCCAGAGTGCAAGGTGGCAGGTGTTTTGGAGTGCAGGGAAGAAAGAGAGGTTGAGCTGGGGCGACTGGATCTTTCTGGAATGGCAGTTTTGTGCCACATTGCTGAACAATAGTTTTGCACACTGGTGGGGCTTCCTGGGGTGGAAGCTTTGCACTGAGCTGCAGCTCAGGGCTTCTTGCAATCTCAGAGCGATGGCATGCCAGAAAGCTTGACACACAGTGTGCCAATGATCCCAGGGCCATGCAGTTCTGGGGATGCCTGCCATCCTGCAAGACAAGATACAGGTAGTCCTTGACTTACAATAGTTCATTTAGTGACCGTTGAAAGTTACAACGGCACTGGAAAAAGAGACTTATGACCATTTCTCACAATTACACCTTTGTGGCATCTCCATGATCATGTGATCACAATTCATGATCATGCTTGGCAACTGGTTCATATTTATGACCATTGCTGTGTCCTGGGGCCATGTTTTTGCAACCTTGTAACAAGCAAAGCCAGATTCTCTTAACAATCAGGTTACTAACTTATCAACTGCAGTGATTCACTTCACAACTGTGGCAAGAAAGGTCGTAAAATGGGGCAAAACTCTCTTAACACTTAACAATAGAAAATTTGAGCTCAACTGTGGTCATAAGTCAAGGACTACCTCTACTTGGCAGACAACAGAGAAGAGATGGAAGAGAGATAGTGAGTCAGGGAAGTTGAAGAGGAGGTAATGCCTTACCTTACACAGGCTATACTATAGTCATTAAAATTAAGAATTTTTATAGATTGATTTATAACAAAAATTACAATCTGTATAATACGGCTTCTGGGGTAGAAATGTTGAACTGAACTAAAGTGGAACCACAACCATGGTGGAATGAAGAATCCTTTGTAATTCCTCTCTGGACAAGGAGATGATTTCACATCACTGACAAGTGCTCCAGACAGTTGCTCCTCATGAAGATACCAAGGCAGCAGTGTCCATCAGGTTTACAATTCTGAGAGACAAGGGAATAGTCATCTTGCTCAAATTAATGATGTTGGGAATGCTTAATGGAACAAAAAGAAGGGGCAAGCAACAAACACGCTGGCTTGATAACATCAAATCTGATACAAAGTTGAATATTCAACAATTGAAAGAAGCTGTGCTTGATGGGGTAGCATGGAGAGTAGTTGCCTATAAAGTTGCCAAGAGTCAGAGACAATTAAATGGTTAAACCAATCAATATCTTGCTCAAACTTTCTTCTTTCTACTTCCTAAGCACTTTCAGAAATTGCTTGTTAATTGCTTTTCAGCTTTTAGGAACCATTAAACTGAAAAGTCTGAAAACACGGGGTAAGTTTGCTTCAACCCTTAACAAGAGGTTCTAAACATAAATTTAAGGACTTAAAAAATTATTTGAGGGGAGCAAAGTGGTGATTAGAACATTGATTTGGGTCAATGGAATAAGGGTCCAGATGGATTTAAAATGAGATATTGGAATTAATTATAAGAATTCCTTGTGGGAAAATAGTTTTGTTTTGAATTCTTAAAAACATGTTAAGATGGGACTTTAAAGGTGGGACACTATATGGAACTAAAGATTACAATGAAAGAATATTTAAATTGTACTACTACAGAATGGAGAAAAAATATTAATTTTTTTAACAATGGATAACAGTGGATAACACCATCTGCCTTTATAGATAAAATGTTATGGTAAGGAACAAGTTTTATTATGCAAGAATGAGACCGATCTGAAAGTGGATTTAAAAGTGACAAGCTATTAAAATTGTAGATGCTACACTTGACATGCAAAAGGAAGACGCTCATGTCTTAATAATTAAAAGGGATATAGAAATAAACCAAGAGAGGGAGCTGGATAATTTTTCTATATTGGAGATAAAAAGTAAATGCAAAGGTTCCCCTCATACATATACGCTAGTCGTTCCCGACTCTAAGGGGCGGTGCTCATCTCCGTTTCAAAGCCAAAGAGCCAGCGCTGTCCGAAGATGTCTCCGTGGTCATGTGGCCAGCATGACTCAACACCAAAGGCACACGGAACGCTGTTACCTTCCCACCAAAGGTGGTCTCTATTTTTCTACTTGCATTTTTTACGTGCTTTTGAACTGCTGGGTTGGCAGAAGCATATTGGAGAGACAAACAAGTTAATCCTTTGAAGAATATTGTGAGAAAAGAGAAAGAAAAAATAAAAAGAAATAAATTTCTAGAACATTATATGACTAAAAATCAAGATTGTTAAAAGTAAAAAGAAGTAATATTAAGATGGTTCATTTATTCAAGGTTAAAATGGATATGTTATTTCCAGGACTGAAATTACAATGCAAGAGCTTATGGGAAGAAAATATGGGAAGAAAAGATCATTGTTGTCTTTTATGAGACAATGATAAGTGACCAAAAGTGTTTACATTCGTTATAATGGCGAAGTCATTTCTTTAAATATTTCTTTTCTTTTTTTTTACTATACAGTATTATTTTTCTATTTTTTCTTTTATAATTTTTAATATTACTATTATAAAAGTAACTTCAATATAATAGCATAATGAACATCTTTAATATAATATAGCAAAATGCACCTATATAAGCAATCCAAATTATATAAAATATATTTTGCAAAACATTTTATAGTGCAAGGAGGGTTACAAATTAAATATTCAGTTTTTTCCAAAATGTCCATTCTCTGCAATTTTGTCACAAAATTCTAAAAAAATAGCCTATTTTTCATAGGCTATAAAAAAAATAGTCTATTTTCATTCCCTTCCAAATATTAGCGAAGCTAATGAAAAAAAGACAACTGAGCTACCACAGAACTCTAAGTAATTGATTTGTCAAGGAACTCATTTACTGAGCATAAGGAAGTTGTATGTTCAAACTATTCTACTAAACTATTTCACTATAGCCACATAGTGGAAGGGCTAGAAATAAAAGGAGAAAAGCTTTAATAATAATAGAATGACTTATAGCAAAACTTTCATAGAGAGAACTAAATTAAGATTTTAGTTAATATTTCGATATTCTATAAAAGTATAGAAATGAGAAGCAGAGAAATTTGATAAATACGTTTAATAAAATATAGCTCAGTCTGTCATCTATTATTAGAACTGACTTCAGCCATTTACTAAAAATGTCTTTGACTTCTTCCCTTCAATATGAAGCTTAGCTTGAAGATGTCTTACTGAGGAAAAAAAATACTGTCCTGACCTGGATAAACAGTTAAGGGGGGTGATAAAGGAACTAATATGAAAAAATAATCAAGCACTGATTTCAGCACCATCCACTGTTTTTCTTTTATTAAAGCTCTGTTCATATGATGATATATACTGGACTTAGATCCTTATTTTGCACATTCGTATCTTATTTCATTCACAGTAATATAAACATCCTTCCATTTGATGCAAACGACTGTATTAGACTACCAAATGTTAGTTTCACTCACATTTAACAGGTACTGCCAGAGAAGAGATTCAAACTGCAAGGTTCAGTGGAAGATACGACCCTCAACTCTACTTCCTCTTCCCCACCAAATTTGTCTTTTGTGAGTACCTGATATTAGGAGAGGCAGAGTTAACCATGCAAATATCCCTGGACACCATTAAAACAAGCCTTGAAAATGCACTTGCACTATCATATTGACCAATCCCTTTTTTCCTTTAAGAATTAGGCTGCATTAAAGACCAAGAGTGTTAAGCCAGTGTAATGAATTGTGAATTGTGCACAGATAAAAGAAAAAGAATGCAAAGCGATCTTAAAGGCACACATATTGAATTTAGTATACACAGGACAGAATTAGGCAAGTTTAGGTGTAAATAGATTAATAGAGTAAGGATAAAGTAAATATAGAATATACATACACAGGCACATTCATTCATTCATATTAGTAAGTTTACAGCCATCTAACTGGAAAATCAGCTATCAGAAAACCAAATATCCTATGCCACCAATAACATCAATTGCCACGTGCCAAAAGTTATGAATAAACACTTCCAAAGCAAAAGAAGTTCTACCTCAAAGAGCTATTTTATTAAAATAAATCTGCAAATAGGATCCTAAATTTGTTGAAACAGAGTTGCTGCATTACAAAGCCAAATATTCTAACATTTTAAAAGAGTAACACTCTTTAAGGTGAGCTTTTATGACTGAATCCACGCATATAGTATGTTCATTACAGCTCCTGAAGAAAAAGATTTCTTGTATAGGGTTATTATTTCATATCTAGGCCAATAACTAGAAGCAGCTCCCAAAGTGGCAAGAAGTCCCCCCCCAAACAGCCAGTTTCCAATATACTGAACTGAAGGTCATCTAAATGAATCCTGTGCTTCTTAGCATTAAATTTCTATGGAGATTCTCAGTCATCCAGGTCACGGTTGACCCCAAGGTGCTTTCTCAAGAGGCAACTGGACTTTCTGGTTTTTCTTGGAAGACATTTTGCTTCTCATCCAAGAATCTTCTTCAGTTTCCTTCCAAGCTTCATGGATGGAAAGCGAAACATCTTAAAAAGCAAAACAGAAAGTCCTAGCATTAAACTTTCCTTTCATTCCTTTCTCCTTATCTTATTATCTGTGTGGCTTGGCTTGACCAGCGAGAGAGGGAAACACACCTGAGATAAAACTGAAACAAGAGAAGGCAAATCGCAAGGAAGCAAATGAAGCAACAAGTTCAGGAATATATCGCTGCTCATAAACTCCTCCCTTCCCTCCCAAACTCCCAACTTAATATTTATTATTCTCTCCAGGCATTCGCGGCATTCTTGACAGCCTCGACGTCCCCCGTTCTCCTCCTCCTCCTCCTCTTCTTCTTACAGCACGGACTTTTTTTAAAAAAAGACATTCCCTGAATACCTATCTATCCCCAGTTACACAGATACCAATAAATAGCAACGCAATTAAAAAAAGAAAAAGAAAAAGCGAGCGCTTGAATTACTGCATAAAGATATTTCTGTCACCTCACTCACCCACCCCTATTAAGGGCTCTTCCCAGCCACCCGCTCCGTTTCTTCCAGCTATTATCAAGAGGAAATTCGCCCCCCCCTCCCTCCACCGACTCTGCAAGCCTGATTTTGTAACCAAAAGCAATGGACGGGCCCGCAGAGCTCCCCGCTGAGCGACACCCAAGGGGGGGGGGAGGAAAAAAAAAAACAGAAATCCAGGCACGCGCCCCCTCCGTAGTCATCCTTAACGGTAAAGGTCACCCGGCCACCGAGTTCATCCCTCGCTAATCTAACAACCCTCCCCCCACCCCATCAACACACACACACACACACCGCATCACACTTACCCTACTTTTGCAGCAGGCGACTCGGGTAGACGGCTACGCGCACGCGCCGACCAAGGAATGCCATGCGAAGCGCATGCGCACCAAACGCCTCTCAATTCCTGGCTTTGGCCAGTCAGGTGGGATGAGCCTTTTTTTTTGAGGGCGGAGTCGGAGGAGGAAGGATCAGCTGGAGCAAGCGGAAGGATCGGTAGGGCTTGGGACGTGGGGGTGAGGGGGTGAACCCGCGCTGGGTGCCTTTTTTTGCATTTGATGGGAGTGTGTGAGCCGGGAACCACGTTGCATTTTCCTTGCACGGTGTGTGAGCCGTCTTTACGTGCATCTCCTTGCACGGGAGGGAGGAGGAAGAGGAGGACGGCGGAGGAACCCCGCCGTTGTGAGAATATGGCTTTGTTTGTTCGCACAGTTACTTGAGCCGCAAGACACATTGGATGCAAGCATTGGGTGTTTGTGTGAACCCAAGTGGTATATCGTGGTTCACAATGCCTTTCTGTCCCGAGAAATTCAGAAAACCGCGATTAAATTAATCGTGGGTAAACATGCAGTTCCAAATGAGGCCGGTTTTTGGGGTTTTTTTTTACTGAGATGTGTACACTGTTCAATTCGAAAAGCGAAATGAAACCACTGTATTTGCGGGTTTCAGTTATTCCGTAAAAACAGCATTTTTGGCCGAGTCTTTTTTAATGCAGAAATATAAATGGTCCTTGTTGATAGATAATGATAGTTCATTGTTATGATACTGTCTGATATGCTTGATTATTGTCCCATCGATTGTTTGCTATGTTAGATTACAGTAGTGGCCAAAATTGTGGAAACCTTTTGGGAAAAGTGTATTTTTGAGGTTTATGGCTAATAACATCACTTTTTTTTTTTTTTTTTTGGAGTTTCAAGATAATCATATTCCACTGCTGGAATGGACTGGGAATAGCCCGGACCTTAACCCAATTGAAAATCTAGGGAGCCGACTAAAGAAACTTGTTAGTCAGAAGTGACCCAATAAAACTCAGTTAATAGAAGCAATCATTCAATCTTGGTTTCACATTATAACAGCTGCAGAACTAAAAGACTTGGTTCACTCCATGGGAAGACATTGTAAGGCCGTAATTCATGCTAAAGGTTACCCAACTAAGTATTAACTGACGTGATAATTTTTGTATATCTTGTTTTTTCTATGGCGATAATTTTTGTATTTCTTACGTATTTCACTTTTCTTCTTTATACTGTAACTGCTATTCTAATAGCAAATCCTTCATAAAAGTTATTGCATTACATTCTTAATTAAATTTTAAATTTTATGGTACAACTTCCCAAAAAAGTGGTGTTATTAGCTAGTTTTAGAAAAAAACTAGAAAGTTTTTTAGAAAAAAAACTTTTCCCAAAAAGTTCCACAATTTTGGCCACTACTGTACACTCTTCCATTTTACATGGTATGTTGATGGATAAGTGCAGACCAACATAAGCAAAGCAGTGGATAGGAAGAATACACTTAATTGTGAATGTTGATTGCATCATTCACTATTCTTTTTTAAAAAGTAATCAAATCCTAATTGATTTGGGAAATAAAAGTATAGTAAAGGGTAAGGGAAAAAAGAAATTAAATGCACAAGAAAGTAAAAGGCTGTAGAAAAATCTGCCTGAGGAGTGATACACCTTGAATACACTTCTAAATTAAAGCATGTCTAAAATCAGATTGGAAGATTTAAAAATGTTGTAAAGGATACTTTACAATGCAATTTTTAAATCACCCTTACAAATATACCTATTTTATACAGTAAGATATATATATATATATACCTCCTGCGCGAGCTGCACTGGCTCCCTGTAGTCTTCCGGGTGCGCTTCAAGGTCTTAGTTACCACCTTTAGAGCGCTCCATGGCTTAGGACCGGGGTACTTACGAGACCACCTTCTGCCACCAATAGCCTCTCACCGCCCAGTACGCTCCCATAGAGAGGGGCTTCTCAGGGTGCCGTCAGCCAAACAGTGTCGACTGGCGGCCCCCAGGGGGAGAGCCTTTTCTGTGGGGGCACCCACCATCTGGAACGAGCTCCCCCCAGAGATACAGAAGATTCCGGATCTGCGCACTTTCCGCCGTGCCCTCAAAACATTCCTGTTTCAGCAGGCCGGCCTGGCCTAACTTTCCCTTTATATTGCTTTTGATTTTATTTTAAACTGGGATGTCTTGAATTATCTAGGACCAGAGTGTTTAGTATATTTTAATTGGTTTTTTTTTTTAAATTAACGTTTGTATTACATGTATTTTTTATCATTCGCTGTTCACCGCCCTGAGTCCCTCAGGAATAGGGCGGTATATAAATTTAATAAATAAAATAAATAATAATAAATAAATATATATATATGACTTGGTTAACTGAAAAGTTATATTTTTGAAGAGTATAACTTATTAAGTATAAATTGTTGCATTCTGTTTTAAAACACATGCACATTTTTTATTTTAAAATGGAGCTACAGTGGCTTGGGTTGATTTGTTTGATGAGGAATGAACTGAAACTCAGAAAACACAACGTGCTGCATTAAATACCTGACCTCTGTCTATTTCTGACCTTAAAGTACTTTCACCATTAGCAATTTTCACTTCTTTTTATCCTTTGTTTTTATTAATTATTCCCAAAGAGTGAAAGCAAAGTTTTTACTGTATTGAGACAAGTTTTTCCAATTTTTTGTTAAGAAAATACTGTATTAGGAGTTACATCATTGTTCAATATGCAACAGGAATCAAGCATTTCCTGCTTTTCTCCACCAGGCCTTCACATCTTCGGTTCCAGTGCCATTTTTATTTATTCTCCACTGCCCTTTTCATTTCTTAACTATTTTTTTCCAATTGCTTTAGGAATTTCAACTATCGTGCTTCATTTTCATTTCTTTGTTCATCCTGCTTTTCAATACTTTGATTTTCAATGTTTTCTTTCTCTCAAGGCTTGCTTTTATGAAGCCTACTTATTTTGCCCACAAAGGTACTAACTCCTATCCATGGGAAAGATTTTAGTCCAAGTTATGCTGACTTCATTTGCTTTTCATTACAAATATTGTAGAACGTTCCAAGGAAACTAATACATGCCAGAAGCTTCATTGTCACCATCATATATTCTCCAATACTTTAAATTGTAAGTCATGTTTGCTGAAAAATAAAATGGATCCTGTTGAATGGAGCCTTTGTTTGATATAATGAAATTTGTGTGTATTACAATATTAGCTAAAGATAGTGGGGAAAAAAATACTTCTATGAATGTCTGCTTTAGGTCTTGAAACTAAAAACTTCATTCCATGGAGAGATTGATCAATAAACAGTATCTGAACCCCACATATCTTCCAGTGGTGCATGTCCACAAAGGGCGTTATAAACTGAATCCCTTTGAGCTTGTTTAGAGGATATAACAGGGAAACACTGTCATCGCTTTCTGTTAGCTAAAGAGCAACATGTTCTTTTCTGTGTGGGATACTCCTCTTCTTCACCAAGGACACGATGGAGATACTTGTGGACGTACAAGGAGGAAATTGATTACTCTCACTTCAGCTCACCATACATGTCAGCTAAATTAACTCTAAAGTTTAATATGGTATTAATACTGAATTGTCTTCACCCAGAACCTGAACATAACTGTAACATAGTAATAGACAATATTACAGTCATAGACTATGATTTGCATAGTCATAGAAATATTTCAGTGTAATTGTCAGCATATCTTTGGGTATGGAAAATTCAGCTGCCTGAAACTCAGGGGACCAGTAGCCAGTCGCTGTGTGAAGTGGGTGTTTCTATCCCACTACTGGGATAGAAACTACTACTATCCCAGTACTGAGAAAGCTGTTTTTATATACATGTTTAAAGCATCAGGGCCCCCAACTATGCAACTTTAATCTCCCAATTAAAAAACTATCAGTATAATACTATCAAAGTAGCTTTCTTTTGATTTATAGGTAAAATGTATAAGCAAAAATTAATATATACCCTTCTGATAGTTCTCAATTAATGCTAATATATTGTCTTTGTCTTTTTAATGTTACATTTATCTGAGATTGTTTTAAATACTTTCATACTTGTTTTTACAGTTATTCCGCCTGGAAATTTATTGTATATTTTGGGTTTCATTATAAATGAAATTCTTTTATCTTTTATTTCTTTTTGAACCAGTAATGACAAAAGAAAATACACTATTTCTCTTTAATCCATGTAATTTCTTTCTGAAGGCTACCTGAATAATCTCAGATTTAGGCTTTTCTATTTGGAGTGGCCTGAATGGTATAAAAGTAATCTCAGTTAAAGTAACCTCATGATTTATAAATATCTTCATTTGGTTCTAATCCGTATTTAGCAGCTTTTATTTTGCTTCAGTCCCGTTGTAAAAACTAGGAATGCAACCTATTTCTATCAATTTCTCTTCATTTCTCTTTCAGGGGCACACCCGTTCTAGACTTCTGACATGTTTCCCTTAAAGGATTCAGAATTAGGAGCTTTCACCTTTTTTGCTTCAGCTCTTCCAAATGATGTTTGTGGAAGCAATGGTCTACCTTTGACTCCAAATTCCATAAAGATCCTGGGCCGCTTTCAGATTCTTAAGACACTTACACATCCCCGGCTTTGCCAATACGTGGATATTTCTCGTGGAAAACATGGTAAGTGTATTGTTCTTTTCAGCCCCATAACTTTTTGGGTGTGATTGGAAGACTGTTACAGGAATTATTTTGTACATGTTCTTCAGAGTTTTAGAGACTTCAAAGACTTCTACATTTATTTTTCCCAAAGGCAGTTGTTTGCTTTCCCACAGACTGACTCTGTTGCAGCATATTTCAGTCTTGTCGCTATTGTTACACATAGCAGACACAGATGTATGTAACTGCTGTTTCCTTACGGGCTTTGTTATCCTGTAGTTCAGATTACACTGATAATTTTGAGCTATTTCCTTTTCTTTTTCACACTCTTGTCTATATATTTTTCTCTTCCATCCGCTTTGTCTCTTTCAAGCCTCTTCTCTTTTTTTCTGGGCTCTGTTTGGTTTTAAATGTATGAACTTCATTCACTGCATTTATTTCCTAGGTCCTGTATTTCATCAGTGGGTTTTGCT